CCACCCGCGCCCCCCAGGCACCTCCTTCCCCAGCCTTCCCGGACCGCTCGTCTCGGTCTCAGGCTGTCGCCCCCTCCTCACTCGCGCGCCAGGCCTCTGCGCACCTGTGTCTAACTGCGCCTTTCTCCACCCTTGTCTGCCCCCCTCCCCCTGCCCCTTTTCGCCTCCGGTTCTGTCGATGATAAGGTTTCGCGGTCTCCCCGGGCTGTGCATTTTTACCCTGGCACGTCCTTTGGCTTTGCATCGGGGAAATGTCTTTCTCACCCTTCCTCGGCGTCCGCAGACTTCCTCTAGACGCCCCTCTCCCACTCCTCTCCCGCATCGCCCACTCCGGTTACAGTGTTTCCACTGCACCGGGGAGGGATGGGAAGAAGGGAGAATTTGTCTAGGGGCCGGGGGAGGACCGGCCCAGCCGTGCCTCTCCCCACGGGTCTCTCTTCGTCCTCCTCCCTCCCCACGACAACCCTCAGAGACTGAGGACCCTCTCGCAGACTTCTCTACTGTACATCTCTCGGGAAGAGGAGGGACATACATTTGGAGGGAGATTGGGACCTTGGAGTGGGGGTTGGAGCGTTAGATTGGGGGGGGATGGGGACTCGGGAGGAGAGGCCTCCCGCTGCCCGTACGACCCATGCTCTTCTGGGCTCCAAGAAGAAATGCAAACCTAGCAGCCGGACCGCCCTGAGGAGATCTGGGGGAACCCCACCAGCCGGCTGCTGAGGGGGCGAGGGAACCACTGCCGTGCCCCTCCCCTCCCCACTGCGGAGTCCTCCCATCTCGTTTTGGATCCTACCCCGCCCCCCACTGCAGTGACCTCCCCTTCCTCACTGCATTGACCTTTTCCTCTCCCCACGGGCGGGGGGGATCCCTTCTACAGCCGAAGACTGCAGCCAGCTCCTCGTCACCCCCCGCCCAGTGCAGTAACCTCTTTCCTATCCCTCCCAGCCTCCCAGCCTTTGGCCCCTCCCACTGGTCTCAGGCTCCACCCCTCTAAGCCTCTTACCTTTCTCCTTCCTTCCCTTCCACCCAAGGGGATCCCAGCCATCATGTCCATTGAGAAGATCTGGGCCCGGGAGATCCTGGACTCCCGTGGGAATCCCACGGTGGAGGTGGATCTCTACACCGCCAAAGGTAATGGGCAGGGCCTTCCCACAGCCGCCATGCTGGCTTTGCCCTCGCCTGGCATGGGAGGCTCCCTGGGGATTCCCAGTGGGGATGGGGTGCTGGGCCAGGCTCACGAGCCTGGAGCGGGGCGGGGTGTATCCTCCTTTTCCAGGGGAGCCAGGATAGGCCGGTCTCTGTGTGCTAGTTTAGTGTGTGATACACAGCCTGCCTCTGCCCTCTGTGTTCACCGTGTGTGCGTGTGTGTACCGTGTGTGCGTGCACCATGTGTGCTGCCTGCGTAGCTTCATTTCTGTGGGTTCCCACGGCGCACGTGGGACCTCAGTTGGGTGGATGAGGAGGCCAGTGCTTGTGCATCCGCCTCCGTGCGTGTGTCCAGGTCGGGGCTGGTGGGGGGTCGTTAAGGAGCACTGGTGGAAGAAGGCTGGATGCGGCTGCAGGGGCGAGAGCTGGAAGGCTGGAGAATCCCTGGTCCCTGTGGTGTCCTCTCTCTCCATCCTCATTCCACGTTCCCCTGCCAGGGCTTTTCCGGGCTGCGGTGCCCAGTGGAGCCTCCACTGGTATCTATGAGGCCCTGGAGCTAAGGGATGGGGACAAACAGCGTTACTTAGGCAAAGGTGAGGCCCTCTGTCTTTTCCCGGCTCTCCCGTCCCTCCACTGGGGCCCTCACACCAGTCCCCAGCCCTCTTCCTGCATGCCTTCCCCCCCGCCTTTTCTCTTCCGGCACCTCCTGGCCTGAGCCGGCCTGACCTCTCCACCTCTCCCTAGGTGTCCTGAAGGCAGTGGACCACATCAACACCGCCATCGCCCCGGCCCTCATCAGCTCAGTGAGGCCCGCTCTTTGCTGGGGGTGGGGACCAGGGTCCTGGAAGGAGCCCTGGATTAGGGGAGGATGAAGAAGAGAGAGAAAGGCCCACCTCTTGGGAATCATGGTTACCGGGGAAGGATGCCCCCTGCTCCCATGGAGCTTCAGGTCCCCTAATCCAGACAGGCCGCTGTTGCAGGAAGCTGGTTGGGCCCTGGCTAGATGGGAGCCTGTGTGTGGATGTAGGGGGCCCTCTGGCTTAGGGTCCAGCCTTCATCCTGGCTTTGGGTGATGGAGGCTCTGCTCACAGGGTCTCTCTGTGGTGGAACAAGAGAAGCTGGACAACCTCATGTTGGACCTGGATGGGACTGAGAACAAGTGTAAGCAGGGGCTGGGAGAGAGTGGGGGTGGGGCGGGAACTCACGGAGCAGATGGAGAACTGAGGGGCCACGCTGTGGGGGGCTTCTTAGGAAGGATGACCTGGGACTTCCCTGGAGGTCCAGTGGTTAGGGCTCCACGCATGAGCTTCCACTGCAGGGGGCACGGGTACGATCCCTGGTCGGATCCTGCAGGCCGCGAGGTGTGGCCAAAAAAAAACATAAGAAGAGAGAAGGATGACCCGAGGAGGACTCTAGCCCTTCAGGAAACCATGAGTTTAATGCCAGTGGGAGGGGAATGACATTAGACAGAAGGGAGGACTTTGCAGCATAAGGAGGGGGGAGTTGGTGGCAGGTAGTCTGTGGTCTCAGGGATGTCTAGCAATAGTGCCGCTCTCTGCCCTTTCCAGTCACCTCCCCTCGCCGCCCCCCACTATTTTCAGGAGAGGATGGATGAGGTGTTGCAGGAGTGGAGAGGGAGGAGGGGGGTCTCCTTTACTGGCTCCTTTTGGGGAGTGTAGGTGGAGGCGAGGCCTGGAAGGGGAAGGGGACGTGTTTGCTCAGTGCCTTCCTTTGTAATCTCCCAGCCAAGTTTGGGGCCAATGCCATCCTGGGTGTGTCCCTGGCCGTGTGTAAGGCAGGGGCGGCTGAGCAGGAATTGCCCCTCTACCGCCACATTGCTCAGCTGGCCGGGAACTCAGACCTCATCCTGCCTGTGCCGGTGAGACTATGACCTGCCCCTCCCAGGGGTGGGTGGGGAGGGAGTATGAAGCCTTGTGAGGACTGGTGGGGCGCAGCTAAAGAGAAAGGATGGGGACGGGGGACTCTGAGTCAAGGAAGCTGGAGGAAGTTTGGGATTTGGGGTTGACACTCCCAGGGGTGGAGAGGGAAGTGCTCTGTGACTTTTCTATCCTCCTGTGGCTCCCAGGCCTTCAACGTGATCAATGGGGGCTCCCATGCTGGGAACAAGCTGGCCATGCAGGAGTTTATGATCCTCCCAGTGGGCGCTGAGAGCTTTCGGGATGCCATGCGACTCGGGGCAGAGGTCTATCACACACTCAAGGGCGTCATCAAGGACAAGTATGGCAAGGATGCCACCAATGTGGGAGATGAAGGTGGCTTTGCCCCCAATATCCTGGAGAACAGTGAAGGTGAGACCAGGAGCCCCACTCCTAGCTCTAA